CCATGGTCATGTATGTTGACAGCATGTACCGAATAATAGAGCAAGGCCCTTCGCCTTTGCTCGAAACGTCGAGTTTCTGCTTGTTTTTTTCAGGTAGTAATATAATCACTCAGGGACAGCAATTTCACATTGGTACTACCATGGATAATAAATAAATGTATAGGACTCTAACTGACGTCACCGTCTAAACCTAGTTTCAATCTGTGACGTCATGTGTACTGCCAAAGTTCTCTGCTTTTTTGTTGTTTCGCTATATTTCCGCTTTAAAAGAGTAATATTGAAGCATAAACTGGTCTAATTGTTTTAAAAACATGCCTAAGCCACGACAAAGTATTCAAGGTAAATGTTTTTCATCTTTGTTTTGTATTTTTTTACATTTGTAGCTACGAAATTGGCGTCACCAATTTTAACGAAATTTGGGATGCACTTTTCACTGTTTAGTGCTTGAAATATTTGCTAAAATTGACTGGAAATACTTAGAGATTTCATCGTAGAATGGCATAGTGATATTTATTTGCTCTTTGACTAAAATGTTTAGCTGTATTATTGGTAAACAAGCCGTTTTTGAGAATTTGGTTTGCAACTAGGTTTCAACATTCAATCATGCCATCATCCCATTGAAAACATTAAGTCACGTCAGCTAGTTTCCTATCCATTTATTTTATTATCCATGGTACAACCCACGCTGGTACAGACTGTTTTTGAATAATAGAGCGATCTTTTTGTTGCAGATATCTGTAAATACCTGCACGACGAGTGCAACACCCACATGCAGGCTGGCTTATGTACGGATGATGATCCTCAGGCACAAGGCATGAAGAAGTTTTGTAAGACAACATGTGGATTTTGTGTTTGATATTTCTCGTTTGTCTTCTGCAATATAAAGTCCGTAAAAAACATAGATATCTTATATACACTCGATAGCGCGTCTCTTTTAGTAAAATTGAAGCCACGAATATTCCAGCGGTTACCCCCATTTGAATAGATGGCGGTCATGTTGGTAGTTCCCACTCGCTAATAAACGCTTAAAAAACAACACTTTCACCATTTGAATAGTTTAAAAATGTTTTTGGAATAGGTTAAACTTAAAGGTGATCTACAGTCCGTATGTAAACAAAGCCTTTGTTTACATTTTTGTGTTCAAAATATTGAGCTTTATTCGACAACTATTTATATTTTCAAGCTTCTAGAGTATAATAAATGATCAAGAAACAACAATCAGGCCTTTTAAGAACTCAAAACATAGATATCTATAGTAAAAACGCAGATGCACAGTCAGACTGTCGTAAACCTCGCTAGAATTATAATATCGAATCTCATGTATACACCCTTTTCATAAATGGCTGCCGATTAAAAATTCCTTTATGTGCATATAAATTGGCCCAACTAGCCTCGTTTCGGGGTAGAAATTCCTTTGAAATCCTAACATGAGTAAGAGGCTAGTTGGGCCAATTTATATGCATATAAAAGAATTTTTAATCGGCAGCCATTTATGAAAAGGGTGTATATTCTTGTATACTGTATTTAAATAATACAATAAGATCTTTAACGTTTTATGAGGACCAGATTGGAAAAAAGTTGTAACTTTATCTGTTTATCCTCAATAAATAAAGTGTTATTATTATTATTAACTATCAAACATAACTTGCTCACAAATACTAAATAAAATCCTCATGTTCTGTTGTTTGTCTGTTCTTTAATTTTCCCATACAAATATTTCTCAACGTTTGGATCCGAGAGTAGTGCGTGAACTCCGTCTCGGAATATCGTTATTGAAGACGCAGCGTCAGCATCTCTGTGAATTTTGTTCAAACCAATAGTAATGATCTTGATTCCCTCTTCGCGCATGTCTGCTGCAGTATATTTGACGTCATCCAGGGATCTGTCTTTTACCATCATCACAAGAACCTAGACAGATACAATAGACAGACACGCCCTAGCATGTATGAACATGCTACAGCCCACAATTTGAGGGGAATCTTAGCTGAGTGGGATTATTTCTGTGTTCATATGACTGTTTTATCTCACCACATTACGTAAAAATGGCGTCTTCAAATATTATTTTTTGTAATTAGACGAGCTGCACCTTCTATTATGACTTAAAGTGAGTGTCTGTTGCGGTCTTGCTTGTTTCAGTTCTCCTTGCTTGTTTGAATTTTTAGTACATTCTTATCGTTGTAATCATCTTTTAGTATTTATATAATAGTGTTAAAACCTTTGTAATTTTAAAACCTTTTAGGTTACAAAAAAGTCTTCAAGTTATTAAATTCAAATTCAGTTTGTCGTTGAAGTCTATATTTTAAGTCAAAATCTGCAAAAACTGTTCATCCATGTTAGGTAGAATAAAGCTTTCTTATGGAAAGTTTTACCCCACTTGGCTGAGATTTACCCTTAGATTTACCTCTAGTTTAAGTTTTACCCCTAGCGCAAGGCGAGATCTCACCATGCCTTGTTTCTCATATGAACACAATATGCGTTAACAAAAGTCACGTGAATTTCCCGGTTTGCTGTGCGCGTACATATGAACCATATATATCTTATATACACTAGATAGCGCATCTCTTTTAGTAAAATTAAATCCAAGAATATTCCAGCGGTTACCCCCATTTGAATAGATGGCGGCCATGTTGAAGTTTCCCACTCGCTAATAAACACTTAAAAAACAACAATAACTTTAATTTCATCGTTTGAATAGTTTGAAAATGTATTTGGAATAGGTTAAACTTAATGCTTAAGTTCTTTGTTTAAGAAATAGAAAACATACGAGTCTTCTCATTTCATGGGAATATCCTGAGTCTGCAATGACGGCTTCAATTTTAGAATTGCAGACTAATTAGATGCACTATCTAGTGTATACGAGATATCTATGATATGAACACGATCTTATTTTGCTGTGGGTGTCACAGGCGATTTTATAAGGCAAAGTTGAGGTACTTCACGCGAATCACTACATACTTGTGCAACTCCAGATCTGGTGAAGGTTTTAAATACTTCCTCATGTACTCTCTTCAGAGCTTTTCCCGCATTCATCTTGCCTGCTGGATACGCCGCTAGTCTTAGGCCCTTTTGCAACGTGCGCGCATCTTGTTCACGGGAGAAATCGAAATCAACACGACCGTCATCCGAGATGGTCGCGAGTGCTATCCGAGTCATCGCTTCAGAGATTGGAAATTTCTTGACAAAATTTATCAGGAATTTTAGTTCATTTTCAAAATCGTCTTTCCCAACACCCTCTGAACCGTCGATAAGAAAAACAATGTCTACTGGTTCTAGAATAAATAAGTTGTACTTTAATTGTTTGGTGGAAAATAATATATTTATTTGGAAAAACGTTCAATCCATAAGCCTTGATCTTCAACCAGACTTCCAATAGAAATGAACTAATTTTAATATCTAACCTAGGGGAGTGGTTGTATCTTCATTGTTCGAAAGTCCTCCGATGGCTACCGATTCATGCCGAGCATCGCCATGGAGTGTGCCTACTTTTATTCTTCCACCATTAATCTCGTCCAAGTCTTGAGTGACGACTCCGCTGTGAACCCCTGCGGCTGTATACAGAAAAACAACATGATTAGTTTACTAACTTCATTCATACTGGATTTAAGAGTTCTAAAACGCTGGGCAAACTAGGAAACATTGTTGTGGAAACATTTGTGATTCTCAATGTTTTCTCAAATGTTTCCATGTTTGCCCACCCGTGGAAACATTGTTGCGGAAACAAAATTTGCTTCCCGAGAAGCAAAAATGTTTCCTAGCGAATTCAGAAACATTTGATGTTTCCCTATGTTTCTCACTAATGTTTCCTAGTGTTTGCCCAGTCTGGGAAACATGGCGAAACATTGATAGGAAACAATGTTTCCTAGTTTGGCCAGGACTTAAGGCTCGTCGTGTATTGGTCCAGTGTTGTTGAAATGTTGTTGTTCTAAACTCCGTAGAGGTCTCCTAAAGCTCGTCTTTTGTTGGTCCCCTTCCTCGTTTCCAGGGCTCCTCGGCTGCTTGCAACGTTGGCAGCCAAGAAACCCTGGGAATGAGGATGGTTGGTCCCGTGTTGCAATAGGATGAAACTGCAGCACACAGAAAAAATGCAATGGTTTCAAACTTAATTAAAGCACTCTTTTGAGGTGAAATTATAATCAGACAATTCCATATTATTGCAGGAACCAAGCTCAAGTCACAGAGACGAACACTAACCGCTGTACAATACATAATTCACCTAGACCCTTTCCTTTATACCTAAAATTCCAGCAGAAACCGACCTTCATTAATCATATTTACAATCTTATTCAGTTTTTCATCACTATCATAAAGAAACTCCACTAAGTTCTCAAACATAACTATAGATGATAGAGTGCTGGCTTGAATACGGTCCGCTTCAACTCCTATTGATAATATCTTTACTCCGTCTTCTTGAAGTTCAGCTGAAGGGACCTTTATATCATCTGCTGTTGTACCTTGATGTGTAGAGAAAGCAGAAATTATGTTTCAGAACCATCCTTTAATGATACGGAAAACTATTTTCATATTTATTCCGATACTGCATGGTATGACGAAAAATCCGGTTATCGTTCCATGTTTCGCGCACCAATATAAGTTAGGGTTAGGGGTTAGGGTTAGGTTTAAGGTTAGGGATAGGGTTAGGGTGTGTATATACGGGTATGGAGGTATCCAGTTAACTTTTCAGTACACTATAATATCCATTACATAACGTTTACTATATTGGTGTGCGAAACATGGAACGATTACCAAAAATCCGTTGTCAGTCGAGTGTCAATCTAGAAACCCGAGTTCGAATCCCGTTGAACGCAATACAGTTTTTTTGTACTCTGCATAATAATATGAAACTAGTTTCTGCCTTAATAGTAGTTGGTCATTTTAACTGAAGCACTGTGCAGTAAGTTGCCATTTCAACGTTTCGAGAGCACTACAGCTGTTCTTCAGGAAGTTTGTTAGTCAATATCTATTCTCCTCCTGACACAAACCACGACAGTTATTGTTGTTTACACGCAATTTTCCCTGCGATTTTAGGTGCGATTTTCGTCTTCTGAGGGATGTGAACGAGTAGATGAGTTGTGAATGTTCTGAGTATATGCACCCCAGTGAACTCTAAGGGAACTGGAACGATAACTTGGCGGCCATCTTTGAAGCCAAATTGAAGGCCGCCATGTACGTATGGAGTGGAAAATACGTCACCAAAAAGATGTCTGTTTTCGACCACTAAATAGCTGTATTTCAACAAGGAAAAAAGCTAAAAACTTTCAACAATACCTGAAATTTAATACAAAACATGTTTCCAGAACGTAGAGCAGTTATAAAGTTCTTTTTTCAGGAGTCAAAGTGCGAAGTTTTTTTCGGCACGTTCAAACTTGTGTAATATTTTGAATATCAAGCTGTTACCCAGGAAGTTTTTGCTGTTAGTGGATGTAAAATACTTAGAACTATCCAGGAAACCAGGTTTGAATCTTTAAAGTTGAAGCCTTTTAATAAAAAAGTACTTTTTCTTGCTTATTTTCGCTCAAAAACAAACTTTTGACTGAATTTCCCGCTCCTCGAAACTCTCCCCAGTCCTTTTGAAAGTTAATTTATTGCTGGCCGTGCTCGCGAGAAGCGCCATCTTGGCTTCAGGCAAGTATGGGCATGTTTATCTGCAGTTAGCGTTCCAGTGTTATTACAGTTCACTGATACACCCTTATCTGAATATTCATAACTCATTCACTCGTTCACATCCATCAGAGGGAGAAAATTGCTGAAAAAATTGCAAGTGTAAACGGGCCTTTAGAGGTTCAGATTTGACTCCATTACAATAGACCTTTTCCCTTATGAGTGAAATTTTGATCTAGATATGCCTGGACAAAAATTTCATCACAGCTTGAAAGAGCATCACAAAATTAGTAATATTCCGAAGTTTCGTTGAATGTTGTAAAATGCGGATAATATAGCCTTGCGAAGTTTGCCGTTTTTCAGTCATTTTGCTTTACAATCGGGAAATTGATAATCAGATGATCAAACTGATTATCAATTTCCATTTCTAATACAAAATGACTGAAAAACGGCAAACTTCGCAAGGCTATATTATCCGCATTTTACAACATTTTGCAATGAAACTTCGGAATATTACTAATTTTGTGATGTTCTTTCAAGCTGTGATGAAATTTTTGTCCAGACTTGTCTAGATCAAAATTTCACTTAAAAGGGGAAAGGTCTATTGGTGGACCATTGATCAATCAAATGGGTTTGATATACCCGATTACCCAATCAGGTGCGTACTAAAGCCAGTAGCAGTGGAAGTCCAATCTGAACCTCTCTATTACCTTTAAACAGCACAACCAAAATCTTAGGAACGTTCTCTCGTGAGCTTGTTTTAAAAATCCATCCTCTAGTCTTAGTGAGGGCTTTGCCTAAGTTTGAACCTCCCCCAGGGTATGTTAGTTTATCAATAGCTTTATTAACACTAGAGTTATCTTGATTCTCTTTTAGATTGAATGCAACCAGACCATCATCTGAGGTGACTCCTAAACCAACATGGACGCCATTCTTTGTGATTGAAAACCTGAGAGAAAGAATGTATCAAGTTTGGTGGAATTTCTCTAAATATGTGAGGTGATATTATATTATATTGATAGTTTGTTTATGCATCGTGTACTAAATCACATGCGGATCAAGTAAAAGTCGTGTATTATAAGTCAAAATGTGCAAAAACTGTTCATCCAGGTTAGAAAGTGCTGGATGAACCATATGGCAGAAGTGACATATGTCATGCCTGTCACGGGCCCCGCGCTTTTGAGGGCCCCGAACTTACCCCCTCCGATTAAAGTGAACCATGGTTATGATTGAATTTTTGAATTATAGATTATAGGAATGGTTATGCCGATGATATTCAACGTCATAACCATCCAAGTTGAATGGTTATGCCGATGATATTCAACGTCATAACCATCCAAGTTGAATGGTTATGCCGATGATATTCAACATCATAACCATCCAAGTTGAATGGTTATGCCGATGACATTCAACGTCATAACCATCCAAGTTGAATGGTCATGTCGATAATATTCAACATCATAACCATCAAAGTTGAATGGTTATGCCGATGATATTCAACATCATAACCAACCACGTTGAATGGTTATGCCGATGGCGATGAGATTCAACGTCATAACCATCTAAGTTAAATGGTCATGCCGATGATATTCAACATCATAACCATCCAAGTTGAATGGTCATGCCGATGATATTCAACATCATAACCATCCAAGTTGAATGGTTATGCCGATGATATTCAACATCATAACCATCCAAGTTGAATGGTTATGCCGATGATATTCAACATCATAACCATCCAAGTTGATGGTTATGCCGATGGTATTCAACATCATAACCATCCAAGTTGAATGGTTATGCTGATGATATTCAACATCATAACCATCCAAGTTGAATGGTTATGCCGATGATATTCAACATCATAACCATCCAAGTTGAATGGTTATGCCGATGATATTCAACATCATAACCAACCACGTTGAATGGTTATGCCGATGGCGATGAGATTCAACGTCATAACCATCTAAGTTAAATGGTCATGCCGATGATATTCAACATCATAACCATCCAAGTTGAATGGTCATGCCGATGATATTCAACATCATAACCATCCAAGTTGAATGGTTATGCCGATGATATTCAACATCATAACCATCCAAGTTGAATAGTTATGCCGATGATATTCAACGTTATTTGACTTAATATTATAGGCTGTTAAAAGGTATCAACGCTTCTGAAGATGACCTTGCATCCGTTATTGAAACCTAGCAATACCAACCTATTGCAAAGCTTTCTCACAAAAGTTAACTCTTTATCAAAGTTGTCTTCGCCAGCGTTAATTGAACCGTCAATAAGAAACGTCAAGTCAATTGGGTGAACCACAGCTAAAATATATAGATAAGGAAATAGGTTATCTTCAAATCTTCCTTCAGTCCTGGTCAAACACGGATGAGAGTTGATGATAGTTTTCGCTACGCGCGTGTTAATATCCAACTATATCAACTTCGATGCAACTCTTGTTCTCGTGGTAAGAGATTTGAGAAAATTCTCATATCTTCGTTTGACAAGGGCAGTTTCACCCCAAGTAAGATCGTCGGGTGACTGTATTTGCTTCAGTGAGCTCTCCATGATGCAGACGATACTGCGAACTGAAACCAGTTATAACAACAGATACACAATACAAAATATCCTCTAATAGATGTAATACTATTTGTCAGTGTATCGGCTTACCGGAGCTGATCACATATGGCAGAAGCTCGGTTAAACTTATAACAACAACCAAATGCTGAAGCATATTTTGATTTATTGTCATCCAACTACAACAATCTAGTATTCGTTAACATTGCAATATTCAAAGAATATTGAAAAATTATTTTAGGAAAGTACATTTAAAGAGAAGTTTGTTACTTGCTCGACACGGTTCACCACATTCCGCTACACAACACTTCACATGAAACGTGTACCTGCAAAACAATATGGATGTTTCTTAATCATTTTGACGTTTTAAACATTTTTATCGACGCGAAAGCTTCTTTTCATTTGGAGATTTGGATAAAGTTTGCGGGTACTACAAGACGGCAAGATGAAGCTATTTTTTCTTTTATTTGGCTTGGAATTTTCCACTGCGGTCATGTCGTTACAACACAAAGGTAAATATAAATAATGTTACTTTTTTAAGAAAATTATCGTATGTTCCGTTTTATTTAGCCAGATTACCATCAGTTGCAATTTTCATAATAAGTCTGTAATACAACGGTGCACACTTCTTTCTATTTTGATAAATGTATTAATTTTTAATGGAACATAGGATATTTAAAAACTAAGGTACCTGCGAAGACATTACCGATCAGTTTTTATCATTAAGGAAAATATTGCATCTTTTAACAACATCGCGCCCGTTGAATGACTTACTCGAACTACTCGATAAATTCAGTCTTTATGTGAACGAATCAAATCCATGTTTCCAAATCTATACTACTTCATTATACTTGATGACAGCATGAGACAGGAAAACAAGATCTTCTTGCTATATTTTGATCCTCTAATCCCTGAAACGAAACTTATAGCATGAACTCTTACAACACTTTCAAAAAGCAAATTAAACCATTATATAGTCTAATTCTTCTAAGAATTCAAATGCATCTACAGCATTGGTATTCACTTGTATAATAAGAACAATTTCTCTTCTTTCTCTCTCTTTAAATACAGCGGTGATTAACTGTAAATAATTGATTACATAATATAATATAATAATATTATAATACTATGATAATAGTGGTTTATTTACACGTTCAATAGTGGAATGGCTAAATTACAACGTGTTTACAAGCATTAAAATTATTTACAACAATTATTTGAACGCTGTTCTTAGGGTTTGTAATCCAAGTGAGTATATATATACATTTTAAGACCTGACCCGGAACGACTGCGAAAAATGCGGCACAAGGTCCTCTGGTAGGATAAGGGCCGTAGGTTCAATTCCTACCAGAGGACCTTGTCACAGTATAGGAAAAGTAGAGTAGGGCCACTCAGCATAAAAAAGTGTCTACATTGTTTACTGGCTGCCAACCTAATTTAAATATTGGCAGCCAGTAAACGGCAGCAGTCCACTATAAAATTGTACTACAGAATAATGATTTTGGCCAGTGGCGGCGCCAGGGGGGGGGGCAAGGGGGGGCAAATGCCCCCCCAAAATTATTTTTTGCCCCCCCATTTTGCCCCCCCCTCAAAAAAAATTATTAGTCACTAAGAGCGACTAAAGGCTACACAAGCGTTCTGTCGTTATCGGAAAATGTATGGCTTATAAGTTGTCATTACTCATTAGTGAATGCGCATATACATGAAACTGTTTTTTACAGTTTCAATATTAGTTTGTAAATTTCTGAATGGTAAAACTTGCCAATACTCCAATAATACGTTACAAAAAAAGACAAAAAATCTTTAGTTTTGCAGAGTTAAATTCTCAAACGTGTAAGGCAATAATAAGATGAAAGTATCACGAAATTATTTGAATAAACCACATCGCATATATGGGGGGCGAATGTCCTAAAGAGGGGCGATATTCCTAGGGTATTCGCCCCACCCCCCTGGGAGGCGATATTCCTAGGATATTCGCCCCCGGGGGCGATATTCCTAGGAATATCGCCACGTTTTGAGGGAGGGGGCGAATTTCCTGGGGGGGCGACCTTTTTAAAAATTCTATCTTGCCCCCCCAAAATTTGAGTTTGCCCCTCAAATGCCCCCCCAAATTTGGAAGCCTGGCGCCGCCACTAATTTTGGCCGTGTAAGACACCTGGAACCTAGCTTAAATAATTGCCACTTTTCTCTCCCCTAAGTGGCCCTACTGGTTGTTTCCCTATACTGTGACATTGTGCTGCATTTTTTGCAGTCGTTCCTGGTCAGGTCTTAAAAGGTATATATATATACTCGCTTGAGATTATATTTCAAGATTAATACCACCAAGTGAAGTGCAAGTAAGCAGATCATTTACATCAATTACCCTATGTGTATCTAAAATTACCTAATATATATCGTGATACAAACTGGCATAATGTCTTCGTATAGGTCTCTCGCCCAAAATCCTTGAAATTATCGTAAATGCATACAGTATAGATTTATTGTACATAGGGAAAATTATAAAAAATTTGGTCATCGCTTCATTGAAGCTCAATGCACATTCAAGATATCAACCTTCCATTACAGGATTTACCCAAATGCACAAGAAAGGTGGTCTTCAACAAGTGCTCTCAAACCATGCTGAGAAAATCCGTTTGAAGCTCCTTGGTCGTCCACTTAAGCAAATGAAAGCGACTTTAATCTTCCCAAGTAGCGAACGTGAACAAAACAAAGTTTTAGAAAGCATGTCGCCTGAATATAAGTACCAAGACAGCGAAAACGCTGCCAGTCAAAATAAACACAACCAAGACAACCAGATTTCAAATATATTGGATGAAACAACAGTACATGATCTAGCTGCGAAGCATTTGCTGGACAGCGAAAGCCAACATTCCACTCGTGCAGGGACACCTGGTCTTATGAAAGGGTTTGTAGGAAGTCGAGGTGGTGTTGAATCGTTGGAACAGTTGAATATTATGTTACAAAATACATTGCCTGAATATCAATATGACAGAGCTGAGAGAGGTAGGTATGGGTATGTAAGTTTGAGGTCGCCTGACTCGCTCATTGAAGAACTTCAGCACTTTCTGTCTGAACGTTTTGAAAATAATTGGAAATGTTTCAAAAATTCATGGGCCTTTAGAGGGGCTTATACACGAAGATTCACGGTAATGAACTTTCTTAATTCTAGGTCCAGGTTTCTCCTTTGATGGCTGTGTTGACCTGGATCCTGATTGTTGGAAATATGAGCTGCATGGCTTATGTAGCGACAGTCCTGACCTGGCTGAAAAACGTTTTAACTGTAAGAAAACATGTCATCTTTGTGTCAGGTGAGTCATACAAAATGTTGACATTTAGGCAAACTTGTTAATTAAAAAGTTTTATTTTGTAAAAAAGTCATTAGATTTTTACCACTTTACATATGGACCGAACGTTGCACTCACATTTCTTCCCAAGTCACTGTGTCGTTAATCTAATTAGCCTTTCTCAAGCCGCAATTTTTGGGTGGATTTCAGCCGAAATCTGCGAGATAAATCCACATAACAGCGACTTTTTATATTTTATATTGAATGATGGTAAATTTGCTTTTCAAATGGTTATTTTATTTTGAAAAATTGCTTTTCACATCGTTTTAATTGTCTGCATTGGTTAACGAGAATTAGAAGCCACCCAAAAAAGGCGGATATTCGTCATTGTGAGAAAGGTCCCATGCGTTGAGTGTACAACATTCACCTCTGAGATCATAGTTACGTTCTCGCTGCGCAGTACTCAGTCAGCTCTCTATATATTTGGAGCACGAATGGCCGGACATTTTGCCGAAAGACATTTTGCAGAAAGACATTTTGCCGAACGGACATTTTGCCGAATGGACATTTTGCCGAACGGACAGTTTGACGAACGGAAAACTTGCCGAAAATAGAGATATCTTCTGAACCTTAAAGGTTCACTTACACGGTCAAAGATTCTGTGATTAAAGTCATTGTCGATTTTGATGACAGAAACTTTGATAGTGAAGTATAGTTTTGTTTTATACTCTTTCGAGTTTTTGACAAATTTTTAGAAATTTCCACGAGAACTGTGAATGTATTCCATGATTGTCGAAGTGAAATTCACTTACGTCGTTGTCTTTATATCGTCAAAACACGTTCCTAACAAATGATCGAGTCATCCGCTGCACAAAAAGCTACCAATAGTCAATATGGTTATGCAATGCTAACGACCATTATGCATTGCTAATGACCACATAATGGTCATTTTACACAATGGTTGAGAATTACACAGTTGAGAAATGAGTGACAGTCTCAAACATTTTGACGAAATAACATCTCTATTTTCGGCAAGTTGTCCATTCGGTAAACTGTCCGTTCGTCAAACAGTCCGTTCGGCAAAATGTCCGTTCTGCAAAACGTTCGTCGGCAAAACGTCCGTTCGGCAAATAGCCTGCGAACAGGCTCTCAAGCTAAATTGAGAGCCTGCATCGATGACGAATGAATTTGAATATCTGCCCCGTAACGTTCGTTTTTCCAAATATGGAATGCCTATCCTTTTATGGTGTTGTTTACAACTTTCGTGCAAACTAAATTTAGACCCTGCAAACTAAATTTAGACCGTACAGTTTATACTGTTTTTCGAAATATAAGATATTCAAGCAAAAGTTCAAATGTTTTAAATACTGTTTTCTCAAATCAGATCATTTCGTGCTTTGAGATAAGATGGCCAAAACCAATTTGATCATTCAATGTGTTTTTTATTCATAGTGCTTCGGAAGTTAACATATATAGAGCTCAGCGGAAACATATAAATTATAGCATCTGACCAATGAGAATTTCGCGTCACGATTTGAGACGCAGATATTCAAATTCATTCGTCATCGATGCAGGCTCTCAATTCAGCTTGAGAGCCTGTTCGCAGGCTATTCGGCAAAGTGTCTTTCGGCAAAATGTCTTTCGGCAAAGCGTCTTTCGGCAAAATGTCCGGGTACCGGAGCACGAACTTCAGTCATTCGGTCAATGAGAAAAGTGAAGCCGGGATGGTGGCCATTGACGTCCAACAGCTCTGAAGGTCATAAACAGCTTTTATACCATTTCCCCAAGCTAATTCCAGTTTTCTCTAATGGACCGTATCACTAATCAAATTTTCAGTTCATAAAATCACAATATTATTCTTTAAATCGAAGTCAAAATACGAACTTTCAACACACTCCTTGCCAAGATGGCGGAAATTGAAGGAGCTCTTGGACGTCAGTTCCAGTCCCTTTCGGTTAACACGAAACTGGCTTCACTTTGAGCAACCAAGTTCCTGCTCCAGATATATATGGAGCTCACTAGCGCAGTCATGCCAGTTTTCTGAAAAGAGTCAATCAACGCTCTACTGAAAGTTGTGAGTTTCTCCTGTTTCGTACCACAGTGACGATAATTGAGAGGGTTAGCTTTAAACTGACCTTTCCGCTACAGCTGTGGTCCAAAGCAAGGATGGATCCAACATGATCTGGTAGGGTGGGGGTGCTCTGCCAGCTCTGGTGCCGAGTTATATCGGTCATGTTCGCCGCCCGCCCACCAACTTGCTTCACTACCGCAAAGTCTTGCTTGGCTACTGAATTGTAATTGTAATTGTTGTTCACATTTCGTTTATCATCATGTTATTACTCAAATTACTGATTTCTCATTATTATTATTATTATTGATTAATTATTTCTCATTTTTCCTCTAATTATTTTTTGCTTTATCATGAAAAAAAGCACCCCCTGCATCCCCCTACACCCCCTGCACCCCTCTGGCCAGGGCTAGGGGGGGGGGCGCATTTTACTATATTATAGCTACCTAACACTACACTATTTGTCAAGTAAAACTCACCACATTAAGCCCATTTTCCTCTTCAACAGTATATCATAGCAAAACCGTATTCTTTTTGTGTCAAAGTCATTAGTTACGTCTGAGAGCTCACGAAACAAAGAAATACGCTACGTTTTGCTACGATACATTTGAAGTAGAATTAAGCGGTCTTAAAATTTTGTTATTTTAGTTCAACAGGAGCAAGAAAGCATACGAAAAAAGGTGCGAAAAAGAAATAAAACAGCAACAATAACTTGGTACATTATACATTGACATCCCAAAGATGGAAATATTTAGCTAGAGGACAAATGGAAAAGACAATGCCTACGTCATGTATAAAAAAGTATAGCCTTTCAAATTTAAATCAAGCATAACGGCGTATTTCTATTGAATTCATCTGACAAGCTATAATTGCTTCGAACAAGTTAGCGTAAAACGAAAGACTTTCTACTTATGGGATATGAACAACTCAACGAAATATCCTGTACAGTACAGGGTAAGTAAAAAAACCTGATACCTTCGCTGTGAATTTGAATAACAAAGATGTCAGTTTTTTTTTACTCAGCCTGTACAGTACAAGCAGCATTAAAATGAAGTTATAATTCACCTATTCACCAATAGCGACGCCATCTTGAATTTCGCGTTTAACGCAATGCATTATGGGAGATCCAGGGTAATTGAACGTTTTTGAAGGGCTGTAAATCAAATATGTAGGCGAAAACACACGTTTTTATAGTTGATAATAACAGACAATTTTTAGAAGAAGTAGGAAAACACACAAAAGCTGGGAAAAATAATAAAATCAGGATAAAATCTATAGTTTAAATCTTTGTTCGGCCTAAAAGGGAAATAATTTCAACAAAGTGCGCATAAAATTGATTTACACTGCCTCATTGTCCTCAAGAAAGTGTTTATGAAAAAAAAATTATCGTATTGTGTCTCAATACGACATTAAAGGCTTTTGAATTCGGATTTTTACCCTGGATAACCCATAATGCATCATGATTCAAGATGGCGTCGCTATTGGTAAATAAGTGAATTGCCTTCCTTTGTAAATAAGCCGACATGTTTCCGTTGCGCATCATTAACTCAAAGCAGTTGAGAACAATCATATCATTTATAATTATCGTTAATATGAATTTGAAAGGTTATACTTTTTTTTATACACTGCATATTCAAATTAGTGGACAATTATATTAGCTCATGCAGAAAGGCCACAGAATAGCCCACACGTCTGTTTTGACGACTCATGTAACTTTTTATAAACATTTGTGAAGTATAAAAGTTGTTTTTATATAGAATCATAAACTAAACACAGAGAAAACACATTCCTTTAACGTCATAACCATTCAACTTGGATCGTTATGACGTTGAATATCATTGGCATAATCATCCAACTTGGATATTGAAGTAATGTAATTTGTTACCTGCTTCCATCGTTGACATCATGGTCTAGTGGTAAACACCGAGGCCATCATGAGCGAAAGTTGTGGACCATTCCCAGGTAAAAGTCTCGAAACTTTTCGTATAATTTTTTCTTTATTTTTTTTCCATTATTTTTTCCAAATGTCTTCAAATCGTTCCTCATAACAGCTTAATACTCATATTCCGATAATATTTTGTATATCTGGACAATTTTGAGTCGATTTAACCAACGATGACGAGGGCATGAACACGATGTATAACGATGAAGGAGATCTATGTAGGCTGAAATCCAAAAAATCTACACACAGCTATTACAACGGAAAATAGAATATTGAAGTATTGACTATTGTATTTTGTTACCAGTTTCATCGTTGACATCATGGTCTAGTGGTAAACACCGAGGCCATCATGAGCGAAAGTTGTGGACCATTCCCAGGTAAAAGTTTCGAAACGTTTCTTTATTTTTTTTGCTATTATTCTTCCCAAAAGTCTTCAAATTACTCCTCATAACTGTTTAATACTAATATCTTGATAATATTTTCTATATTTAGACAATTTTGAGTCGATTTAACTAAACAACGCGATGAAGAGAATTCTTATCCAAGGTGAAATCGAAAAACACTATCTACAATACAGCAATAAACACAATATTGACGTAATGTGATCTGTTACCTGTTTCCGTCGTTGACGTCATGGTATAGTGGTAAAAACCGTGGCCTTCATCGGCGAAAGTTGTGGTCCATTCCCAGGGAAAAGTCTCGTTAATTTTGGTATAGTTTTTCTTCACTTCTTTTTGCCATATTTTTTCCAAAAGTCTTCAAATCGCTCCACGTAACAGCTTGATACTCATATTTTGATAACATTTTGTATATTTGGACAATTTTGAGTCGATTTGACCAACGATAACGAGGGCATGAACCACGATGTATAGCGATGAAGAGGATCTTATGTAGGGTGAAATCCAAAAAATCTACATATAGCTAGTACAACGGAAAATAGAATATTGAAGTATTGACTATTGTACTTTGTTACCAGTTTCATCGTTGACATCATGGTCTAGTGGTAAACACCGAGGCCATCATGAGCGAAAGTTGTGGACCATTCCCAGGTAAAAGTCTCCAAACTCTTCGTATAATTTTTTCTTTATTTTTTTCCCATTGTTTTCTTCAATTGTCTTCAAATCGTTCCTCATAACAGCTTAACACTCATATTTTGATATTATTTTGTATATTTAGACAATTTTGACACGATTTAACTGAACAACGCGATAAAGAGAATTCTTATGCAGGGTGATATCGAAAAACACTATCTACAGTACAGCAATAAACACAATATTGAAGGAATGTAATTTGTTACTTGTTTACATCGTCGCCATCATGCTATAGTGGTAAAGACTGAGGCCATCTTGGACGAAATTTGCGGACTATTCTCAGGTAAAAGTCTCGTAACTGTTCGTATAATTTTTTCTTTATTTTTTTTTGCCATTATTCTACCCAAAAGTCTTCAAATTACTCCTCATTACTGTTTAATACTAATATTGTGATAATACTTTCTATACTTAGACAATTTTGAGTCGATTTAACTGAACAACGCGATGAAGAGAATTCTTATGCAGGGTGAAATCGAAAAACACTATCTACAGTACAGCAATAAGCACAATATTGAAATGACGTAATTTGTTACCTGTTTCCATCGTTGACATCTTGGTACATTGGTAAACACCGAGGCCATCATGGGCGAAAGTTGTGGACCATTCCCAGGTAAAATTCTCGTAACTGTTCGTATAATTTTTTCTTTATTTTTTTTTGCCATTATTCTACCCAAAAGTTTTCAAATTGTTCCTCATAACAGCTTAATACTCATATTTTGATAATATTTTGTATATTTAGACAATTTTGAGTCGATTTAACTGAACAACGCGATAAAGAGAATTCTTATGCAGGGTGAAATCGAAAAACACTATCTACAGTACAGCAATAAACACAATATTGAAGTAATGTAATTTGTTACCTGCTTCCATCGTTGACATCCTGGTATAGTGGTAAACATCGTGCCCATTTTCGGCGAAAGTTGTGGACCATTCCCAGGTAAAAGTCTCATAACTTTTCGTATTATTTTTTTTAAACTTTTTTTTTCCCATTATTTTTTCCAAAAGTCTTCAAATAGCTCCTCATAACAGCTTAATACTCATATTTTGATAATATTTTGTATATTTGGACAATTTTGAGTCGACTTGACCAACGATGACGAGGGCATAAACAACGATGTATAACGATGAAGAGAATCTTATGTAGGGTGAAATCCAAAAAATCTACATACAGCTAGTACAACGGGAAATAGAATATTTAAGTATTCACTATTGTAATTTGTTACCTGTTTCATCGTTGACATCCTGGTATAGTGGTAAACACCCTGGCCATAATGAGCGAAAGTTGTGGAGCATTCCCAGCTAAAAGTCTCATAACTTTTTATTTGTTTTTGCCATTATTTTCTTTCAAAAGTCTCCAAATCGCTCATCATAACAGCTTAATACTCATATTTTGATAATATTTTGTATATTTAGACAATTTTGAATCGATTTAACTGAACGAAGCGATGTAAAGAATTCTTATGCGGGGTGAATATACTCTCTACAGTACAGCATTAAACACAATATTAAAGTGCTGTAATTTGTTACCTGTTTCATCGTTGACATCCTGGTATAGTGGTAAACATCGTGGCCATCTTCCGCGAAAGTTGTGGACCATTCCCAGGTAAAAGTCTCGAAACCTTTCTTATAATTTTTTCTTTATTTTTTTTCCCATTATTTTTTCCAAATGTCTTCAAATTGTTCCTCATAACAGCTTAATACTCATATTTTGATAATATTTTGTATATTTAGATAATTTTGAGACGATTTAACTGAACGACGCGATGTAGAGAATTCTTATGCGGGGTGAATATACTATCTACAGTACAGCAATAAACAAAACATTGAAGTGCTGTAATTTGTTACCTGTTTCATCGTTGACATCCTGGTATAGTGGTAAACATCGTGCCCATCTTCGGCGAAAGTTGTGGACCATTCCCAGGCAAAAGTCTCATAACTTTTCGTATAATTTTTTTTTAACTTTTTTTTTTCCATTATTTTTTCCAAAAGTCTTCAAATAGCTCCTCATAACAGCTTAATACTCATATTTTGATAATATTTTGTATATTTGGACAATTTTGAGTCGACTTGACCAACGATGACGAGGACATAAACAACGATGTATAACGATGAAGAGAATCTTATGTAGGGTGAAATCCAAAAAATCTACATACAGCTAGTACAACGGGAAATAGAATATTTAAGTATTCACTATTGTAATTTGTTACCTGTTTCATCGTTGACATCCTGGTATAGTGGTAAACACCCTGGCCATAATGAGCGAAAGTTGTTGAGCATTCCCAGCTAAAAGTCTCATAACTTTTCGTATAAATTTTTCTATATTTCTTTTTGCCGTTATTTGGTCTCCAAGTCGCTCTTCATAACAGCTTAATAATCATATTTTGATAATACTTTGTATATTTAGACAATTTTGAATCGATTTAACTGAACGACGCGATGTAGAGAATTCTTATGCGGGGTGAATATACTATCTACAGTACAGCAATAAACACAACATTGAAGTGCTGTAATTTGTTACCTGTTTCATCGTTGACATCCTGGTATAGTGGTAAACATCGTGGCTATCTTCGGCGAAAGTTGTGGTCCATTCCCAGGTAAAAGTCTCGTAACTTTTGGTATAATTTTTTTTAAACTTTTTTTTCCATTATTTTTTCCCAAAGTCTTCAAATAGCTCCTCATAACAGCTTAATACTCATATTTTGATAATATTTTGTATATTTGGACAATTTTGAGTCGATTTGACCAACGATGACGAGGGCATGAACAACGATGTATAGCGATGAAGAGAATCTTATGTAGGGTGAAATCCAAAAAATCTGCATGCTGCTAGTACAACGGAAAATAGAATTATTGAAATATTGGCTATTGTAATTTGTTACCCGTTTCATCGTTGACATCGTGGTATTGTGGTAACACCGAGACCATCATGAGCGACAGTTGTGGATCATTCCCAGGTAAATTCCCGTAACTTTTCGTATAATTTTTTCTTCATTTCTTTTTGTCTTTATTTTTTCAAAAAGTCGCCAAATCGCTCCTCATAACTGTTAATACTCATATTTTGATCATCTTTTGTATATTTAGACAATTTTGAGTCGATTTAACTGAACAACCCGATCAAGACAATTCTTATGCGGGGTGAAATCGAAAAACACTATCTACAGTACAGGAATAAACACAATATTGAAGTAATGTAATTTGTAACCTGTTTCCATCGTTGACATCATGGCATAATGGTAAACACCGAGGCCATCATGGGCGAAAGTTGTGGACCATTCCCAGGTAAAAGTCGTGTAACTTTTCGTATTATTTTTTCTTTATTTTTTTCCCCATTATTTTTCCCAAAAGTCTTCAAATCGTTCCTCATAACAGCTTAATACTCATATTTTGATAATATTTTGTATATTTAGACAATTTTGATTCGATTTTACCAACGATGACGAGGGCAAGAACAACGAGTGTATACCGATGAAGAGAATCTCATGTAGGGTGAAATCCAAAAAATCAACATACTTCTAGTACAACGGAAAATAGAATTATTGAAATATTGGCTATTGTGCTTTGTTACCTGTTTCATCGTTGACATCATCGTACTGTGGTAACACCGAGGCCCATCATGAGCGAAAGTTGTGGACCATTCCCAGGTAAATTTCCGTAACTTTTCGTATAATTTTTTCTTTAGTTCTTTTTGTCTTCATTTTTCAAAAAAGTCTCCAAATCGCTCCTCATAACAGCTTAATACTCACATTTTGACAATCTTTTGTATATCTAGACAATTTTGAGTCGATCTAACTGAACAACCCGATCAAGAGAATTCTTATGCGGGGTGAAATCGAAAAACACTATCTACAGTACAGGAATAAACACAATATTGAAGTAACGTAATTTGTTACCTGTTTCCATCGTTGACATCATGGCATAATGGTAGACATCGTGGCCATCATGAGCGAAAGTTGTGGACCATTCCCGGGTAAAAGTCTCGTAACTTTTCGTATAATTTTTTTAAACTTTTTTTTGCCATTATTTTTTCCAAAAGTCTTCAAATTGCTCCTCATAACAGCTTAATACTCATATTTTGGTAATATTTTGTATATTTGGACAATTTTGAGTCGATTTGACCAACGATGACGAGGGCATGAACAACGATGTATAACGATGAAGAGAATCTTATGTAGGGTGAAATCCAAAAAATCTACATACAGCTAGTACAACGGGAAATAGAATATTTATGTATTGACTATTGTATTTTTTTACCTATTTCATCGTTGACATCATGGTATAGTGGTAAACACCGTGGCCATCATGAGCGAAAGTTGTGGAGCATTCCCAGCTAAAAGTCTCATAACTTTTCGTATAATATTTTCTTTATTTGTTTTTGCCGTTATTTCAGTCTCCAAGTCGCTCTTCATAACAGCTTAATACTCATATTTTGATAATACTTTGCATATTTAGACAATTTTGAATCGATTTAACTGAACGACGCGATGTAGAGAATTCATATGCGGGGTGAATATACTATCTACAGTACAGCAATAAACACAATATTGAAGTGCTGTAATTTGTTACCTGTTTCATCGTTGACATCATGGTATAGTGGTAAACATCGTGGCCATCATGCATGGGCGAAAGTTGTGGACCATTCCCAGGTAAAAGTCTCGTAACTTTTCGTATTGGTTTTTTTGTTAACTTTTTTCGCCATTATTTTTTCCAAAAGTCTTCAAATCGCTCCGCATAACGGTTTAATACTCATATTTTGATAATATTTTGTATATTTGGACAATTTTGAGTCGATTTGACCAACGATGACGAGGGCATGAACCACGATGTATAACGATGAAGAGGATCTTATGTAGGGTGAAATACAAAAAATCTACATACAGCTAGTACAACGGGAAATAGAATATTATTGTATTTTTTTACCTAGTTCATCGTTGACATCATGGTATAGTGGTAAACACCGTGGCCATCATGAGCGAAAGTTGTGGAGCATTCCCAGCCAAAAATCTCGTAACTTTTCGTA